CTATTCTAAAAATTATCTGTGTGTCTAGAAGCCCCACATTATCTTTTAATTTTATTTTTCCATAAACTTTTTGAAATACCCTTGAAGAATACCACTTCCTCCATATAACCAAACATAGTGACAGCCACATCACTCTGGAGAAATTCCAATCTGTTTCTGGCAATTTACTTATAAAACCACAGGTTTTCAGGACTGAAAGCACCTTTCATGACCCAAACACCCAAGACATCAATTCCTGAGTCCCTTCCATAGCATGTCTGAAAAGTGTTTTCCCAGCCTATGCTAATGCTCTTAGAGTAACAGATAACTCTTTACCTTCCAAAAAAATGAAAATTAGTTTCCATTTTTGAACAGGTTTGATCATTACCAAGTTCTTATACTGAACCGAGAAATGACTCTCTGGAGCTTTCAACCACTGGCCCTTTGGGGGCAAATATTCTGTAGTTTGTTCACCAGGAAATATTTGAAGACAGCAACAGAGTACTCAAATTCTTTTTTTCTAGGCAATAATCCCCAAATTCCCTATTTTTCCACAATTAGTCCTACTTCATTGATCTAGACTATTGGGTTACTCTGGATTATTGGAAAACATTAACCTTTGCTTCCTGTCACTTCCGGGTGTCTAAACTTGACAAACTGGCTCTTCCAGTTATTACTTAATTGAATTCATTCTACCCACTGCTGTCCAACTAGCTTAAAGCATTAAACTTCTGTGTCACCTTAACATGTCCTTTATGAAAGATCAGATTAATAATCAGATAAAATTAGATTTTCAAATAGCTGATAATTACCAAGTACCTAATCTCTCCTTTACCAAGTAATAATTAACTTTTATATCTATTTAGTACAATTTGCTGGACTGGACTGAAGTCAAAAGAACTAAGTTTTTTTCTGCCTTCATGGTGTTCAGTTTTCTTGTTGAGTGAAGGTGTTGATGGTCTCTAAATTCTCTTTATTTTTTAACCTCTGTAGGAATACTGGTTTCTGTATGTTTCAGAATAAGAAAACCACTTACTTTTTGCTGACATATGCTCTCAAAATATGTCAGCAAAATTATTATCAAAAAAATTGTGAGGGGATTTATAACACCCATGTCTCATGTGAGTTGCTTGAGCAGATTAAAAAATTATCTATAAACATATATACGATTATATTATATATGGTATAGCAATTGAGTTGGTACATGCTAGGTTTATAAAAATAGAAGTAGAAAGCTGGAAAATGAGATTAGTTGAATTATAGTCCTGTCTAACCCTTATAAAAGTTTCTGGAATTTATACATAAGACCTGAACAGCGGGACAGATAAAATGACTCTCCTTTAAGCAAAGCCCAAAGCAACGAGAACACATTGCCTATTATTACATTCTGGAACATTTTTCCAGGCATAAATATATGCACTATAAATTAATAGTATTCTCCTTTAACAAAAAGAATATGAATTTCTTTTTTTCCATGTACCATCTAGCATAATGACAATACTTATTAGAAGTTGAGTAATAATAAAACTCCATTGGGTGTTTCAACTTTTGAATGCATCAGTGAAGATGGACCAAAAAGTGGATTCTGTGAGATTTAGAACGTAATGCATTTCGAAACCTAAAAACAATTGCTGAAATTAACACAATATGAATAAAGCAATTCTGGCTACTCACTGTGTTTCACTAAAGCACACAAACTCATGCACACGTAAACACACATATCTTTATAGCTCCCCATGTAAAACCTAAAAACAATTGCTGAAATTAACACAATATGAATAAAGCAATTCTGGCTACTCACTGTATTTCACTAAAGCACACAAACTCATGCACACGTAAACACACATATCTTTATAGCTCCCCATGTGGGCTCTGTAAAAGCTACATGGTCTGTATTTCTGTTCATGGTTTGCTTTCCTCCTGATTTCCTCTCTTTCTTTTTATTGGGTTCCTATCATATTCATTTCATACATTTTCCTAACATTAGAATATATAATCTATGGGTAATAATGCTGCTTATCAGCTGTATTTTATTGATGTGGTAGATTACTTACAGACAACACCAAAGAGCTTGCTATCAATTTTCTTTCTTTTGAATTGCTCAAAGCCTTAGTAATTGTTTTGCTTTTGAACTGAAGTGCCAAATACCTTTTTCAAAAACCTTACATTCTCTCTTAAACTATGGAAACTCTTTCCACACAAACACCAGCTTCTAAAGACAAGAGGTTAATGGGTAGGGTGAAAATCAAATAGGCCCCCAAAGAACATGAGCACCATGTGGTATAGAAATAGCAATTTCATTTAAGGAGGATATTATTTTGTTTACTTTTGGTATGTTTTCCAATTGTGGTGGAAGTAGTAGAACCATTAGGAATGCAAAGAGAATATTTGCACCAAACTTATGCAGAGAATGACCAGCAGCTGTCTGGATAACCAAAAAAAGAAAATTTAGGAAGTGAAACCAGAGAGGCTGGTAAGTTAAGATCCTATGAGCTGTATTATTAGAGCTGAGTACAAGGTACCGGACAGGGCCAATGACTTTATTTGCCAGGAGCTGGAGTTCAGGAACTGATGTGGAGGGACACTCCAGCCAGGGGATAATGTATAACTCTCAGGCATGCTGGAGATCATAAGACATCTGGGGAGAACATTTCTCTAAGGCAAGAATAGGAAGTTTCTCTCCATATAGTAACATATTATTTTTCTGCATAGTGCTTGTAGTTAGAAAATGACATTATTAGATAACCATATCCCAGTTGCTATATGAACATTCAAACCAACTGAAGTGGAGTGTCCTCTCCCCTCAAAATGCTGCTCTTTCGTGCCAAGGACAACAAGATCTAGGGATTTTAAATGCATTGCTTTTGATTACATGTAGCTTATGTGGGTAGTGAAACCTAGGTATGGATAGCTGGAATTTCTCTTGGAGATTTTCTTATGCTTCCGATCAATTTCTTGTGAATAGTGACCTTAAAGGGCACTCATATAATCCCACAGTCTGTTATTAATACAATATAGGGCCCAGTCAGGAGAATTCCAACTGTTGCTAAGTTTTCTATATTAGCACCTATGTGCACCTTTATGTACAGAATCATTGTGCAGGCCAAATGCTCCTTTCTCTAGGTAGCTTATAAGCATCTGGATAAATTTGCATTAGAAATTCAATTAACTTTATATTAATTCCAACTGTTGCTAAGTTTTCTATATTAGCACCTATGTGCACCTTTATGTACAGAATCATTGTGCAGGCCAAATGCTCCTTTATCTAGGTAGCTTATAAGCATCTGGATAAATTTGCATTAGAAATTCAATTAACTTTATATTAAAAGGTCAATTAACTTGGCCATGATAGAGATTGCTTTTAATTACTTTTTCTTGTAGGGCTTCTCTTCTTGTTCAAGCACAAGTGACACTATCAAATGATAGTCTCATTGCCTGTTGGTCCTGAAACTTATATGCAAAACACACTTGAAATGACTGTCTTGGTTAAATGAATTAATATGACACTCTTTGGGCAATTCATCACTATTATAATCCTTTGGGCTTAAAGTATCAGTAAGCAATAATAGACTATGTTAGCTTAAACTCTCTTTATAGTACTATTCATGACAATAACCTTCATTATTTGTCCTTGTTGGTTTCTATTTTTTTGGTGAAAGATGATAGTCAAGTAAAATGATGTTAAGGATTAGTCCTTATTATGTCATATAACAATGTATTTTATGAAAAATAAACAAATAATGACATCAAAACTATACCATTTCATTAGTTGGTTCTTGGTCATCTCTGTTGTATATATGGGCTACAATTCAACTCATTCATGTGGCCCTAGAACACCTACTTAACAGACTCAAGGGATTACCACTTGGCACTAAGTAACAAGTGGCAATATAGTGTCCATTTGTTACCAAATGGTAACCATTACTAAGCCATCATTCGGACAAAAACAAAACAAACAAACAAACAAACAAACAAAACCACAAAAAACCAAAACAGTAACTAAATAATATATAATTTATAGACATATTTTATATATTAATACAGTAACTCAAACTTCCAGATGTCTAGCAATTTAAAAACTAAAGCAAACACTATTCAAGAGTTTGATATGAGGCAAAATCTTGAGATGAAATGTTTTGCTTTATTTTTGCAGAAGGGAACAGACTTCACCTTATAGGAGCAATAACAATGTTCTAAGCACTTTGTAAACATTATCTATATTATCAGTAAAACCCTATAAGATAAAATTCATTGTTCTCATTTTACTGGAAAGCAAACTGCAGCTATGTTTCAGACAGGGTCATACAGCTCTTTAGGGGCAGAGTAACACATGTCAATCTGCTTTTCCAGAGTTTTCATTTTCCCCTCAGATAAAAGCACTGGCTCTAAGAATAGTGAGACTAAGAAAAGCTTATAAAGAGTTTGGGAGTGTTTTGAATGCTTACAGGTCAGTTTTGGAACTCAGTCAGAGGAAGAGAATGGTTTAGGCCAATGCCACTCAAAGAGTGCGTCCACAAGAGTGTAAATTAATTACCTCATTAAGGATATTTTTTGCCCAAAGTGGGACTTTCTCAATAAAGGGAGCTGTGCATATATTTGCATTACGGTACATGTTTCTAATCTCCACATGGACCAATAAAAGTTTGCAAACCAGTAACTAGTCCCTGGGACAATGCTTCAAGTGTTACCATCTTAAGGAATTACTTATGAGATTTTCTCTTTCTGTGAACATGTAAAAATCATTTTGGATAAAAGTTCTCAAAGTTATCTTATATGTTTTTCCATTTATAAAAAGAATAAGAAGGTCACACCTAATATTACAGATAGTAATGAAAGCTAATATCCTAAACCCTATAAATCTATGGGGCATTCATTTTAGTTGAAGTGATATTGCTAGTTTTAATAAGCTGATCTCTTCCAAAAGCAAAGAAAAATAGCTTTTCTAAAGAATGAACAATATTGCTGTCACGCAGCATGATGTTTGGAGTGAAATACAAATTTTTAAAATGTATTATTCATACCTGCACCTCCTCCTATGCTTAGAATCTTAATTTCTGATTTTGTGTTTCCAATCCTGAAATTAAAAAAAAAAATGTAGTTTAAGAAAAATGCGTTAGGTGCTTTGTAAAATCTGATTATCAAGTCTAATTGAAGAGAACAGACTAAAAATACAATGAACAAAACTAGGCCAGCATGAATGGTCCCAGTCATTTCAATGGTTATATTGCTGTCTTTAGAGTATCTTTAAAAATATAGGTTCCATTTATTAACTATCTTGAAGAGGGAGACTTAAGAATAGCACTATGAACATCTTAGAAGTAGGAAATGGCCTCTGTTTGGAGACTGCGTAGAGAAAAAGAACGGAAAAAGTGGACCTTGAGTCTGGTGACACAACAAGCCATTCATTGTAGACGTAAGAGGCTAGGAAGGTTTACAGTGTCTCTATGATGTCTGCCTTCTTTCCTTCCTTCTTCCTACCTTCCTTATGTTTAACGCTTATCAAACATTTATTATGTTCCTATCCTAGGAACTGAGGTTATAAAAATGAATAAGATACCACTTTGCTCTCAAGTTGAAATGTGAGATAATAAAGCCCTGAATTAAGGTCTAGTACTAGAAATAGAGTAGAATAGATGGATTGGGAAGTGAGTCAGGAGGACTTGCTTTTAAATTGATGTGAAGGGGTCAGAAAAAAAATATAAATGCACGATGGCTGCCACATTTCCAGCTTGGATGACTGACAGAAGGGTGGTGTTGAAGGGGAGGCTGGAGAATATAGTGGGACAGCAAGTTTACATTTTCTGTTTTTTTTTTAAGTAAACCTTAATTCAGCAGACATTTATATGAAGATTTAAGCTGCCTAGATCAATGGTTGATGGAGAGAGATCAGGATCAATGATATATTTTAGAGAATTATCATCGTCAAGTAATAGTCAAAACTTGGAGAGTGAATACTATCACCCAACAAAATTGCCAAGAATTAAGAGCAGTAGGATGATGAAGCAAGACCAACTTTTAAAAGTCACTGGATTGTGAGGAATACAGAAAAGAGAGAGAGAAAGCAATAAAACTCAGAAAGGTGCTAGGGGAATGAGAGACAGAGAAGGCCATCAGTATGTCCAAGGCAGCAGAGTATACTACCAAGAAATAAAAGGGGAAAAATCTCCTTTTTGATAACAGCTGTTTTAAAAGAAGGATAAGGACAGAAGTCAGATGGCAGTGGGATTAAAAGTGAACTCAACTGAGACACTATTGAAAAAGGATGGAAGAGTGAGAAGAGAAAGTGATGGCTGCTAAGGGGAAACATGAATTGAAGGAACTGTGTTTGTGCATTTGCACTGCATTTTGGCTGAAGTGAAAGAACCTGCAGAAAGGTTGAAGTGAGGTGCTAAAGGAAGCTGGAAAGGCTAGAGTCAAGGACATCCATTAATGAGTAGCCTTTCTCAGTTCTAGTTATCTTCCAACTTGCAATCATGAGTCTTAACACTCCCATCCCTATCTAAATCTTTTGTTCATTCTTAAAAATGCCCATATCTGTGGATAGCATCGGGAAGCTATGGAGCAGGGCATCCAGGCTGAAACCCATCTAACAGACATATTACCTTGAGCAAGTGACTTGATCTCTCTGTGAAACAGGATGATAATACCACCTAAATTACAGGATTTTTAATAATTGTATCTAACTCATGGAGGAGTTGTGAGGATTAAATGACTTAATTCACATAAATCTCTTAGAGATGTATCTGCATGTGACAAGCACTCAACATACATTAGCAATGATTGTGATTCTAGACACAGCAAAGTGACTTACACTAATTAATTCATTGAATTCTTTCAACTCCTCTATGAGCTAGATACTATTATTATCTCATTTCCTATATTACAATGATAACTAATAATTATTGATAACTTACTATTTTCCAGGCAAACATCTAAATGCTTTACATTTAACAACAATAATAAACTTTACTATTTGTGGCTGTATAAAATAGCTCCATACCCAGCTGCTTTTTAGGGCCTCGTTATTTGATTGGATGAATAACCAAGGCTCATCAGGTAGTTGGGGAGCATCCCTAAGACCTTTAAGCAACAATTTTATAGGCCTTACAGCAGAATCTCATTTCAAACATTACCTTCAGGAAAAAGGTTACTTTCTTAATAATGAGTTTGATTCACATCATTCCAAAAACAAAAAGGTCATGCCAAAGATGAGGAATTTGAATGTCAATAGATTTCTTAACAACAACTTTAGTAGCTAAAAGGCAATGAATAAGTACCTTTAAATTGCAATACAAAATTATTTCTATCATAGAGTTCTATACCTAGCCAAACTAACAAGAATGAGCATAGAGTAAAAGCATTTTTATTAAACATACAAAGTCTTGAAAAGTTTTCCTCCTATTCACCCTGAAAGCTCTTAAAGGATCAGCTCAATAGAAAAAAGGACCAAGAAAAGAAAGGCATGAGATCCAAAAGCAGACATCAAATTCTGAAGAGAGAAGAGAATTTCCAGAAAGTGGAATAAATTCCCTCATCGATAGCTGTATAGCAGGCAAAAAGCAAATCTTCCCTGACTGGGGGAAAAAAAAAAAAGAACAAAGAAAGAAAACAGAGGGTCCCATGGTGGAAAGTGAACGGATTACTTGATATATTTTAATATATTCAGAGGAGATTAATACTTCTCCTTGGAGGTCAAAGTAGTGATAGGTACATAGAAACTAAAAAGAAACTGAAATGAAGACAATAATCAATCTAGGAAAATCAAAAAGTTATTTACAAAAGGAAATGTATTTATAGTATTATATATTGCTCAATTATAAATAATATGTACATAGGCAAAATGATATAAACACTCAAATTATTTAATACAATATTGTGACATAAATACATTGCCACATTGGGGGAAAATGTGAGTGTTTATTTAGCTATTTTTATACAGCAAAATTAAGAAAAAGAATAATAACATGTTATTTAAAGTTACGAAAGAAAATTCCATAAGAAACAAAGGATTTCAAACTGTTGAAAGTGGTTCCTTCTGGAGGTAGGAATCAAGGCTGGAGAGAGACAAGGGGCTGCTATTTTTTTTTTTTTTTTTTGTCTTTTTGTCTTTTTTCCGTGTCCGGCAATGGATCGCAACCCNTCCTAATTATATTTTACCAATATAATGAAAATTCTTCAGTCTTTCACAAATTTTATATTCAATATTTCCAATTAGATTGTATACACTTTGAAGACAGAGAAGGGATCATCCATCATTCATTATGTTATATCCATGCTGGGTATCTCTTCCAGCCAAACGATATAGCTGAAGAAAACCAAGGACCTGGATAAGCTACAGACATGAACCTGTCCTTTACTGGAAAAGAACTGAGAAATTAACTCATTGCCTTTAATTTTAGAAAACAGTAAAATGACCCAAATAAGTAAACTCTAACTAGTTCCTAGATAAGTTGTCCCTATTTGCTACCTTCTTTGATTTTTGTAGTTATCCTATTACATATTAATTATTACTATATCATATAATACTCTATTTTTTAGAAACTAACTTTTAAAAACAAGTATGCAAAATAGAAAATAGAAAGGAAAACAGAATTCCATTTGTTTCCAATTATGCTGCTCT